TCGTCCCAGCAGCCGCGGTGACTTGCCAGGCTGAGCTCTCAGTGCTCTCCGGCGCAGGGTGAAGGGTAGGGAGAGAGGAAAGAAGAATTTTGCGGCCGCCAGCTGATGAGAGGAGCCGGTTCAAAATCGCTCTCGCTCCCCGTGCGCATCCCCGTGGCCTTTGCTCTCACGGTGCCACTCGTGACGGCGGCGAACAAACCCAGAGTAAAGCTCCCACACAACCACATCGAAAGCGACGTGCCAAGGCTTATCTTGCAGAAAGAGGGTTACTTGAGAAGAGCCCGCTCAGTTACCTGGCATCTGTTGGCAGATGTACCTCTAAGCGTAGCTTTTTGGCTTTCCTCTTGAAATTTATTAGGGCTGACTACTACAAAAACGCCACGGGGGAAAAAACAAAAAGGAAAAAAAAAAAAAAGAAAAAAGAAGTAAAAAAAGGGGGGGGGACTCCATCTCTGCCATTGTTTCCGAAAGCAGTGGATAAAATCTCATGTGCAACTTTGCAACTTCTCCAAAGGAGAAAGGTTTAGAAATCTTTTTAGAGTGTTATGAGGCATGGAGCAGAGAAAACCCACCAGCAAGAATTAGATGGGAGTATAAAAGTGAAAGACTGAATTTGTTAGTGTCCCTCTTGGTCTGACACGCACATCTGAACTGTTGTATGCACTTAAGGAAAAAAGTCGCACACTTTTCATTGTCAGCTCCCGGAACATTCCTGGGACATTTATCCAGCCTGAATTATAAGATGACTTAATCCTAGCACTTCGTTGTATCTTAATTAAAATATTTGTGCGAAGAGGAGGGACATAGGCGCACACTGTTCAAATATCTTCATTCTGACTTTATTTACAGTTGCTTTTTGCAGGTACCACCTCCTAAAGTGGTTTCGGTGCAAGAGATTTAGCGTGTGGCAAGGAAGTTGTGGATGTAATAAAGGAGGAATCCAGCTGCACATTGTTTGCTAGATATCTGTGTTATCGGCTGTCCGTGCCTGCCTGTTTGCTGGTGGCTGTATGTCTCTATTTCCTCCTGTCTCTATTTCTTAATCGCACGAACTACAGACACAGCTTCCCCAGCGCTCGCAGGTGCAGCGGTTTGTGTTTTACAGGGGCTACGGCGGCTCATATTTTGTGCTATTCATCCTCCTTAAGGATCAAAGCTCTTCTGAAACAGATTACTGGCCTGAAACCAAACCACTGAAATGGTAATATGGTCGTTCTTAAAAAAAAGTGTAGGTATTTTCTGGTGTTTTCCCATCAAGTACCTGCCCAATTTCTGTATGGCACACGCCGGGAATCAATAGAAGTTAACAAGTCCTCAAAACATTCCCCATCTCTTTGTTTAATCTCCTTTACAATAAAGCCAAGGGAAGAGAATTAAAAATCTTTGAAGTATATTAAACCTCAAAAGGCTCAGCCAAGTAGACTTAAAATAGTCACTTATTTTCCAAAACTGGTTTGTCGAGGAACAATAAAAGGAAGTAAAATTTATGGAGAAATTATACAGTGGATTTGTCACTTAAAATATCGTAACTGTCTCGGGGACAATACCCCATGCTGAGGATTAATGGTCCCTCCAGACCTTTGATTCACCAGCGCCTTTTCTTTGCCCTTGACAAATTGGATTTTTAGGAATGGGAAGGTCGCCTGGCCCATTGTCTGCCAGCCATTCACTCCGCCTGATTATGCAGGAGGGTTAGGGAAAGGCTCCATGTGACCCTCTTGGATGGGACTCCGCAGCTGCTCGAGGAGCCAAACTCTCTCACCAAACTCTGCGCCCCAGAGCATCCCCCTGCCAAGGGGTACCCCTCCTGCTCCTGTTGAAAAGCCGGCGTCCTCGCAGCGCCGCGTCACTCTGCGGGCGGAGATACGCCTGTGCTCATCCTCCCGCCGCCTGCCGCTGTCACTCCGGCCCCCTTAAGTATTGGGGTTCCCGAGCTCTCGCAGCCAGCGGCAGCGATGCAAAGCAGCAGGGCTCCGGCCATCAGCGTCAGCGCGGAGAGCTGCATCCCGGCCGGGCTGCGCCTGGGTCCTGTGCCGGGCACCTTCAAACTGGGCAAGTACCTGTCAGACCGCAAGGAGCCAGGACCCAAAAAAAAGGTATTTTCCTACGGTGGCTCCTGCACCGCTGGACTTTGATTATTCGTTGACTCGGGGAAAGCCGGCTTTGGGAGAAGAGGCTGCTCTTCCCCCTTCTCTCTTCAATCCTTCCTTCTTAGAGAGAGCCAGGAAATCAAAGGGAAGCGTTTCCAGAACGTCCTGAGATGTCTCCCCGTGGTTTTGCCAGGAGAGCCTGCCCGCTCGTGCCCTC